ATTTGGGGCTGATTGAGTGAAGTAGTGTAAGATTCTGAGCAGGGGCAGATTTGGCCAGCAGTGCGGAGGAAAAAAAAAAAAAAAAAAGGCCCCGTGAGACATCACACCGTCGTCTTATTTTGCTGCAACTTACAGGTATACCTGCCCAATCCCCAAAATACGCCCTTATGGTTCCCAGGCAAACCACAGGAGGTGGCATCGGTCCTCTCAGGAATGACCTAGCAATGCTGAGGTCCTAAGGCGGACCTGTCCATGTTACCAGGCTGGGCTAGCTTGGAGGCTGCCTTGGCATGAGCATGCAGGCAGACAGATGCTGATGCCACTTCAAAGAACCACCCCTCCAGGTGCCGAGGGCGGCTTTTCTGATGCTCATGCTGTGTCATTGTTTATTTTCATAAGGCTCCCAGCTGCTGCGGTGATGATATTTATATCAATAAGTGCTCTATTCATCTGCCGGTTTCAGGGAATGCTTGCCAGCTGCATATGGCAGCCAACCTCAGGGTACTTCTGAGCCTGATGTTTTTGCATTTAGAATATCAGTTTTCAACTCTGTACCAACATCTGGGCCTGAAAGATTCTTCATTCACCCAGGACCTACCCTGAAAGGGGGAGCTATAGCCAATGACCTTGATCTTTTGTTTCAAGGTTTTATATGTCCCAAAGTGAAGTTCTTTGAAAGTCGTCCTCTGTGCCTGAGCTCTGGTTTTGCAGAAAGGGATGTTGAAAAAGAGAAGAGCAAACAGTGTTTTGCAGGCCAGACTTCACACCCAGGCTCATGAGCTGAGTTCACTGTTTTATTTCTTCAGCCAAAAGCATAGGGTGGTGATGCCTTTGGACTCCAAAACTCCGCAGGGAATGTTCGAGAACTCTGTTTTATGAGAATTCATTCATTTTTTATAGTTATCTCAGTTTCTAACCTTCTATTGCTCAGGCCCCAATCCTTGGAATTATCCTTCATTCCTCTTTTTTTTTTTTTGACAGGGTCTTACTTTGTCACCCTAGGCTAGAGTGCAGTGGTGTGATCACAGCTGTCTGCAGCTTTGATCTCCTAGGCTCAAGTAATCCTGCCTCAGCCTCCCAAGTAGCTAGGATTACAGGCATGGAGCACCATGCCCAGTTCATTTAAAATTATTTCGTAGGGCTGGGCGCAGTGGCTCATGCCTGTAATCCCAGCACTTTGGGAGGCCAAGATCAGCAGATCACCTGAGGTCAGGAGATTGAGACCAGTCTGGCCAACATTGTGAAACCCCATCTCTACTAAAAATACAAAAATTATCTGGCTGTGGTGGCTCACGTCTGTAATCCCAGCTACTTGGGAGGCTGAGGCAGGAGAATTGCTTCAACCCAGGAGGTGGCAGTGAGTTGAGATCACACCACTGTACTCCAGCCTGGGCAACAGAGTGAGACTCCATCTCAAAAAAAAAAATTATTTTGTAGAGACAGGGTGTTACTGTGTTGTCCAGGATGGTCTTTTACTTGTGGTCTCAAGTGATAAGTGCTAAGTAAGATTACAGGCACGCCTGGTCCTTGATTCCTCTTTCTCTCTCTTATTCCATAGTCAATCTATCTGGGTGTGTTGTTGGCTTTACCTTCAGAATCCACTCCATTGCTACCTTCCGGTTCAACCAACCTCACCTGCCACCTGCATTATCACAGTAGTCTCTTGTCTGTTCTCTCTGCTTCCATTTCAGAAACCACTCTTCCCCATCCTTGCACCAACAATCTATTCTCAACACAGCAGCCAGAGGGATGCTTTTATTAAAAAAGGCAAATTATGTTGCTCCTCTGCTTCAAACATGTGCATGACTCTCTGTTTCTCTGAGAATGAAAGCCCAAGTTCTTCTGTGTCTTCCATGGCCCTCTGACTTCACCTTCCGCTGCTTTCCCCACAGTTGTGCTGCTCTGCCACTGCTCTGCCCATGGCCTTTGTGCTATTCCTCAAGGGCACCAGGTGCATGCCTGCCCTGCAGCCTGGGTGCGGGTGTTCCCTCTGCCTGCGATGCCCCCTGAGAGTCACATGGCTCACTCTCTCACCTCCTTCAGGTCTGTGTTCAAATGTTTTCTTCTCCATAGGGCCCACCTTGACAATCCTATTGCAGTGACATCCTATGTCCCAGATCCACCATTCTGATCTTTACTACCCTGTCCTCTTACCTTTTTCCAAACACTCGTGTCACCTTCTAACTTATAATTGAGCACATGAGAGAGAGTGTGTTGCTTATTATCTGTCTCCCCCTTTAGAATAGAAGTTGCATGAGAGATGAGAATTTCTTTTTATGCCTCTCTTTGTCTGTGTTGCTCAGTGATGCATTCCAAGCACCTAGAATAGCTTCCAGCAAATAGCAGATGCCCAACAAATATGGGTTGCCTGAATCAATGTGAATCAATGGACTCTCTCCGGAACATCTCTCACAGGCACATCCCAAGGTGCACTCAATTTCATCCCCTGCTCATCTGCTCTTCTCGCTGCCTTCCCCCACCTTCCTGCCTTTCATATTTTCACCAGTTATATCTCCGGATGCCTAATTGCCCAGACTCAACATCCTGCCATTTTCTGCAACTTTCCTTCTCATTCACCTCCCACCTGCACCCTCTCCCTAAACCTTGTGGACTTAAGTCTGGAAATGTTTTCATGATCAATTCCAATCCTCTCACCTCCTGGCCACTTCTGCAGTTCAGATAACTACCTTTATTTTCTGCATATTTGCAACATTCTCCTCCCTGGTCTCCTGGTTTGCATGTCTTTCCTCCAGCTTGTTACCTGCACTGATCCCCAGACCTGGCTTTCTTTTTATTCTTACCTTTTTTTTTTGCGTTTTTTAAATTTATTTTTTAAGAGATGGGGTCAGCCAGATGCGGTGGCTCACGCCTGTAATCCCAGCACTTTGGGAGGCCGAGGTAGGTGGAACACTTGTGATCAAGAGTTCGAGACCAGTCTGGCCAATATGGTGAAACTCCGTCTCTACTAAAAATACAAAAATTTGCCAGGCATGTTGGCACATGCCTGTAATCCCAGCTACATGGGAGGCTGAGGCATGAGAATCGCTCAAACCTGGGAGGCAGAGGTTGCAGTGAGCCAAGATTGCACCACTGCACTCCAGTCAGGATGACAGAGTAAGAGTCAGTCTCGGGAAAAAAAAAAAAAAGGGAGATGGGTTCTTGCACTGTCACCCAGGCTGGAATGCAGTGGCGGGATCATAGCTCACTTTAGCCTTGCAGTGCCCAAGCAATCCTCCTGCCTCAGCCTCCTGAGTAACTGGGACTGTAGACACACAGCACCATGCCTGGCTAATTTTTTTTTTTTTTTTTTTTGTGGAGACAGGGTCTCATGGTGTTGCCCAGGCTGGGCATGAACTCCTGGCCTCAAGCAGGCCTCCTGCCTTGGCCTCCCATAGTGCTGGGATTACAGGCATAAGCCACCATGCCCAGCCTCTAGACCCAGCTTTCTAACAGGAACCCTGGCTGTGTTATACCACTGTTGACTCTCCAGTGTTTCACCTTCCTGCACAGAAAGTATTTCTAACTGTGCTACTCCAAACTCCAGCGGTCCCATAAAGGACCAGGGGCACCAGGAGAAAATGAGAGAGCAGTGTGGGTGGAACCCCAGCCTCTGCCTATTGCTTCACCATGAGCAGCTCTTGGTCATTGCTGTTTCATACATTGGGCTTGCATGAAAGCTTTTATTCATAGAAAGGATTCTGTTGCTTAACAAAGGAAAAGTCTGATGCTTGCTATGCTGCCAACCAAGATCCAAGCTCCTTAGCCTGGCACAGGGAGCTCTCTGCAAGCTGGGCTCTGCTACATTTTTCAGCTTCACTACATTTGTCTCCTCCTGATATTCCCCTAAGCCCCAGCCACACTGGAACATAAACTGTTCTGCAAATAAGTCTACGTATATTCTTCCCCTGCCTCACCTTTGCCTGTGCTGTTCCCTCTGCCTGAAATGCCTTTTCCCAGTGAGTTCAGCCTCCATATACCTAAAGCTCCTATGCCTTCTTCAAGGCCAAAGTCATCTTCTTTTTGAAGTCTTCCCTAACCCTCTGGGCAGAATTAATTGCTCCCTGCTCCTGGCCAACACAGCACTTCGCTGCTGACCTCTATTATAACACAGCCACACGAGGTTGGGACAATTTGCTCATCTGTCTCTGGAGCAAGACCGTGAGCTTTTGCAGGGCTGAAACTATAGCTCGGGTCTGTTTAAAAATTTTTAAAATTCCCATCCAAGGCCTGCACAAGGCCAGCGCTCACACAGGAATGCGATGTTACTTTAAGTTTTATTCAAGGCAGTGAAAGGATAGATTTTTAAAAATCTGAAGGACCATTCTCACCTCTTCCACCCCAGAATGGCTGCCCTGGCATAGAGGTGCATTCACTGCCTTGAAGAAATCCAGAAACTGTCCCAAGATACATGTCCTGTGTCCTGAATATGGGGATATGCTATAGGCATGTGATACTAGGAGCTATCAGACCAGAGGGGCTAAGGCAGGAAGCCTGCCAGGACACGAAGGTCAATTGTGAGGAACTGGGGCTTGGTGAGGTGGTCAGTGGGTAAAGTGTCCAAGGTTCAAGTCCCAGGCTCTGTCTGCACAGGCTGCATTGCAGAAGGGGAAGGGAGGTGAGTGTGGCCGGGCATCTGGGTATTATTCCGGGCTGCAGGTGCTCAGTGCTGGGGGAGGCAGCCTCCTGGCTCTGCAAGATCTGTGTGCTTTGGAGCAAGACAATAATCAATGCTTGTGAGATGGAGCAACAGAGTCTGGTCCCGGGCGGGGAGCTGGACAAAGCCCATAGGCAAGGGGAGTCTTTGCTGGAGGTCTGGGGGGCAACAGGACCCTCTGTAAGCAGCAGAATGGCTTTTGCCTGATGCTCATGGCCAGACAGAGCTTATTACAGGACAGCTAGCTGGGGCAGATGTGGCAGGCACTGGCTGTTAAGGGCTCTCCCTCCAGGTTTAGAGTATGGCCCCCCTGACCCACCTAGGGCTTGGCTCGGCCTCCTCCTACCTGGGCAGTGTCCATCTCATTCAGCATCACCACAGAGGAGCAGTTGTAATCAAACACCAGCCTCCAGAAGTCTGCCACGGTGTTGGGTAGAGGGTGCTGGGTGACCACGAAGGCGGCAGGTTGCTTGTGGCTCTGACAAAGGAATGACACAGGCTTTGTAAATTACACATCCATCAGCGATATTCTGATGATGATGAGGCCCGGACTGAGGCCAGAGGCTCCCGAGCCTGCCAAATAGATGATACAAAGCACCTGCCTGTTCTTTTATCTCTCCATGCCCTGGCGGCAAAGGGGACCTTCTCATAATGAACACATTCTCCTCCAAACTAAGACATTTCATTAGGAAAGTGTCACTGGGATGGGATTATCCAAATAAATTATTTATGCCTTGAAGCTCAGCAAATAATCATAATTACAATATGAAATGAAAGATTTCAGATGCAGATTTGTTGCTCTGCTGGTCAAGACACCTCTTGGGATATAAGGGATTGGCCGTATCTCTGTGCCCATGATGTTGGGGGAGGTTTTGGGCCGGCTTGAGGCAGAGATTCTCCCAAAGGGGCAGGCTCCCTTCTGCCTCCAGGCTGGAATGAGGGGCTGAGCTGGCCTGGCAAGGTGGGCACTGTGTCCTGTGAGTCAGTGGGGCAGTGGAAAGTACACATGTATTAAGTTAGGTCGACCTGGGGTTCAAGTACAGCTTTACCACTTGTAAGTTATGAGTCATCCATCTGTCCATCCATTCACCCATTTATTCATCCATCCATTCATTCAGACCTCATTTGTAGAGTGCTGTGTGTTTTTTTTTTTTTTTTGGGGCAGATTGGGTGCTAAGTACTGGCAAGTTATTCGATGATTCCAAAGCTCATGTTCTTCACCTGGAAAACGGAAATCATAAATCCAAAGGAATGATGTCACACAGATTGAGATTTGCGTGTGAAGAGGCCAGCAAACAAGAGCAGGAATGTAAGCCTACTGGCAGGGCAGAAACACCCCTGACTTTGTTTTACGTCCTTGGCACTGGTATTATTGCTGGCACATGCTAGACAGTGCCACTCCAGTGAATAAGACAATAAATTCAGTCCCATGTTGCAGATAGGGAAACAGAGGCCCAGAGAAAATGGCCTGGGGGGTCTGGCAGCTTCAACCAGGGCCCTGTTTCCCCCCACCCTGAAGTCATGTGTTTGAAAAGACTGCGGAGATTCTCCATTTAATCAGTGGCTCATGCGCTCGATATGTTTTCTCAAGAGATGGTTTCTGTGGGAGTCACAGCTGTTTTCAGTGGAGTTACAAGTGAGAGGAAAGAGGGCAAAGACCCTGGAAAAAGCAGGACAAAGCCATGCAAACATGGATGTCGTGCATGCATTGTCGGGGGGCGGGGGTTCTTCCGAGGGTGGTCTCCTGGCCAGTAGAATTTTCAGAAGAGGGGTCTGGGTGGACAGAGGCAAATAATTTATTTTCCAAAAGCCAAACTCTCTAGCTGTAGACGGCATCGTCTTTGAGCCATTTCCAGACATGGGAAAACCTTGAGGCTTTGAGAGTTAACAGACTTGGAGCTCCAATCCTTGGCTCCCATTTCTGAGCTAGTTGACCTTGAACAAGTGATGAAAATACTCTGACCCTGAGGACCTCATCAGAAAATGGGGATGAGAACACCCACATGCAAAATGGGACAGTGCGAGTCCAGAGCCCGACACAGTGCCCAGCACTCAGTGAATGTTAGTTTTCTTTTCTTTTTCCCTGTCTCTGTGATAAATGCTCTATTAGGCCAGCACGCCTGACAAAGCCTTATCTGAAAATATGTTCGAGATCCGTGCTCCTGCCGGGTTTCAGGGATCAGCCGGCAATCCATTTCATGGATAACATCATCCTTTACCAGGGGAAACATTAAAAATTAACCCAGAGGACTTCATATTTTTCTGCTAGGAGCAAAGCTGCTATGGTTACCAGATAATGCACCGACTGAGCTGGAATACAGATAAGGACTTTTTTTTTTTTTTTTTAATATAAGAAAGGCAAAGGCCCCAGTGATGGCTCACAAGAGAAATGCCCTGTGGACAAAGAGAATACAGTCAGCCTCAGAGCTTGGCAGAAGGCGTTTGACTCCAGGCAGTATCTAACCTATTAAGTAGAGGCCAGGAGCTTGTTTGATCTTTGCCTGGATGAGGAAGGCAGGGAGGGGGTGTTGGGAGAAGTGGGAGGCAAAGCTAGGAGGAACTTGGAAGTATGGGTGCACCCCTAGACCCCATTTCTCACCACAGTCTCAGCACAATGCACACTACATGCCATACATGTACTACTCATTGACTTTAGAAGGCTCTACGCTAATGCCAAAGGTCTTCTCTCCACCACCTCCTAGCTACTTGATAGTGACCAAGCACACAGGACTCCCTGATTCTTACAGAGGATATGGGCACCCTGTGGCAGACGCCCAGGGCAGGCCACTAGAGAGCTGCGGACGGCATTGACCTTCCTGCCTCAACATCCAGGCCCTTGGGGAAGAAACTTGAAGAGGATTAGAGGTCAGAGAAGTTGTTGGCGCCTTGACCTCAGTTGAGAAGCCATCCCAATGGTTTCTGTCTATCCTGGGTGATATAGGAGGGCCACGGGATGCATGGATGTAAACTCAGATGGGCTGGGGAGGGAAGCTGGAAGAGCCCATGGATAATCGGGCAATGCGTATTCTGGTTTGAGCTCAAGAGGTGAGATGTTTGCATCGTTATTAATCCAGGCCAAATTGCAGGGAGCGCCTCAAGAACATAAGTCCAGGGTGGTTAAGGAGCTCTATGTGTGGGCTGTGCCACTAAGCTCCTGGGTGAAATTGGCAAGTCCTCTTTCATTCTCTGGCTGGAAAAGTACATGGCTGGGTAAGAGATGGGCCATAGTTACCTTGCCTGCTGCAACACCTGTACACCCTGGAGGGGGAAGTTAAATTCAGAACTAATCCGAAAAACACAGGGGAAGAAGCTCTAGTCACCTGGGTCCGGGACATGAACCCTAATACCCAGAGCCGGGCAGGGTGCAGCCCTTCCCTGGACCCTGATGACAAGAAAGCAGGGCACTGCCCCCTCAAAGGAACAGCCAGGAACAACGGCCTGCCTTCCACCCACCATGCTTAATTTTACTGCTTCCCACTACTTTCCCAATAGCCATTTTACTGAGCCCCTTCACGGTGGCTATCCTGCATTCTTGTGTCCACAGGAGTTATCGGGAACCTCATGGAATTACCAGAGGGCAGAACCTTGTGTCTGCGCACTGTCTGTTTCCAAGGCCGCACATAGAGAACACTTCGTTTTACTAAACTTCAGGTGAAGAGTCAGCTGTGTGGGAATGAAGGGGTTGCTAACGCCCTGTAGCCTTGCATGGACGTCATGGGAGTCACCGTTTACACTTCCTGGTCTGGTTCTTTCTAGGCTCTTAATATGAGAAAAAGGAGGCCAAGACCCAGCTTGTGTCTAGGTTTGACGCAAGCCTTCAGGGGAAGCCAAAGGTCCTTAAGGACCAGTAAGATCAGAAGCAGGGAGGCTGCGTGGGTCTGGGGTCAGGGCCCTGAGGTCGCAGCCACCCTCCACCTCAGGAAGAGGTAAGTTGCTCTAAGATGTCCAGCTGGAGGCTTTCGCCTCAGGCTCAGCTACATCGCATGCAGTGCCGCGTTGATGTAATTGCTGGATTCTCCCGTCCACCGAGATGAGGCAAAGGGCAGGCAGCGGTCCAGAGGCAGCACGTCCATGCTCGATTCTAGTATCATGCGTTGCCGGGGGCAGGAGCCCAACTGGCTGCCAGTCCTCGGGGCCTCACACGGTGTGTCACAATGTTTGAGGGTCTGTGGGGCACAAAGGTGAATAGATAGGCCTTGATCATACGGCTGCCCCGAGCAAAAGAGACAGTGATGTTCCAACTCAGCCTAACTTGCCTATTTCCACCCTCCAAGTGCAGCCCCACTGTCCCTTTCCCAGGACCCATTTCTCTTCCATGGTGATGTTCTGTCCTCTCCTGCTCACTGCTACAGGGTGCATGAGCTGTGTGACACCTTCAAAACGCTAAGGCTGCAGAAGCAGCGCATGCACACAGAGGCTCAGACACAGTCTCGTGGTACCTGCCAACCAGAGGAACTAAGTGGTTCAGCTCAGCCAGTGCTGCATTAAAGGGTGGGCCAACCAGGAGGGTGTACAGAGGGGCGGGGGTAGGAAATCCCTACTGAGGGCTAAACATCACTTGCATTGTCATGGAATGGGGGAAATGATTTACCAGCACTCTTCTCAGAGAGAAAGCTGTCTGAGTACGGAAGGAGGCCTAGATGAACTGCTCAGGATAGATGAGAGACCCCCGAAGGGCAAACCCTAATATGTTTGGGAAATTGCTGTGTTTGGGTTCTGGTTTGAGGCCAGAGCTGAACTGCTCTATCCAATGGACTAGATGTTACATGCAATGACTAGAGTTCTGTACCCTCCATCCGTCATTCAGCCCTCTGTCTCTAATTCAAATCAATAATGGTTATTTGTTTTAGGGATTGCTAAGGTATTGGCCTGCCTAGGATATCTGCCCGTGGAACAATGGGCCTGGAATTTGCCCACTGACTTGAAGCAAGACCTGGAGCTTCCTTGCTTTCTCATACCTCGTTCTCAGCTCCTATTGCCCAGGTGTAATACTGACACTGGTCTTGCGATAAAGGGCTGGACTCCGGCTTTACCTTACTTAGTGATTCATGTCCAGGCTTCTTAGACCAATCAATGTTGCCACAGCGCTGACCATACGGGCTTCCAGGTGAGGATCTTATTTATTTTTTATTATACTTTAATTTCTAGGGTACATGTACACAATGTGCAGGTTTGTTACATATGTATACATGTGCCATGTTGGTGTGCTGCTCCCATTAACTCATCATTTACATTAGGTATAGCTCCTAATGCTATTTTCTTTTTTTTTTTTTTAAGATGGAGTCTCACTCTGTTGCCCAGGCTGTAGTGCAGTGGCACGATCTCGGCTCACTGCAACCTCTGCCTCCCAGGTTCAAGCAAGTCTCCTGCCTCAGCCTCCTGAGTACCTGGGATTATAGGAGCATGCCACCATGCCTGGCTAATTTGTTTTGTATTTTTAGTAGAGACAGGGTTTCACCATGTTGGTCAGACTACAGACCACACTTTTAGCAGTAATAGTCTACTGAAAAAATACTGAGAGGACCTGAGTCCCTCCATGGATGAAGGAGCATGAAATTCACACCTGTTTGTATAAATTTGTCTCCATTCACAACTTGGACTAGAACTGAATAAGACTTCAGTTAAAAAACATATTCACAGTTAAAGACGAGCACCAGCAATCCCTGAGTGCGTCGTTGCTCATGGCTGTGCATTTTGTGTTCTGGAATAGATTCTGCAGCTTCCTAGAGGAGCAGACACTGAAAGTGCATAGACATACCAGTTGTCCCAAAGAAAACCCCACAAATGTGCACAGAGCCACTGAAGTTGGTTGGGTTACTATTACGAACTAAATGTTTTCATCCCTCCCAAAATCCATGTCGTAATCTTAGCCCCCAATGTGATGGTATTAGGAGGTTGGGACTTCGGAAGATGTTTAGGTCATGAACATAGAACCCTCATGAACATGGGATTACTGCTCTTATAAGAAGAAACATGCAGGGCTGGGTGTGGTGGCTCACGCCTGTAATCCCAATAATTTGGGAGACCAAGGTGGGAGGATTGCTTGAACCCAGGATTTGAAGACCATCCTGGGCAACGTAGTGAGATCTTATCTCTATAAAAAATAAAAAAAAGAAGAAACATGAGAGCTTGCTGCTTCTGCTTTCCACCATGTGAATATGCAGTGAGAAGATGGCTATCTGAAAGACAGGAAGTGAGCCCTCCCCAGACACTGGATTTATTGGAAGCTTGATATTGGACTTCTCAGCCTCCAGAAATGTAATAAATAAATGTTTGTCATTTAAACCACCGAATCTACGGAAATTTGTTATAACAACCCAAACTGACTAAGATGGTCACCGAGCCTGGGATTTGCTCATACCTGAAATTCATCTTTGATTTGGCTGGAGTTCGTCTGGGGGTCCAGCCTGCTGATATTGTAGTAGAGAGAACGGAACTCACACACAGGGATGGCAGTGTTGCCACAGAGGCACGCTTCCAGGATGGCGTCGTGCACAAACACATATTGCTCCTGCAAAGTCAGAAGAGGGGGAATGGGGTGCCAGGTAAGAACAGGGCCCTGGGAATTTGTGGTCCACATTTAGTATTGTGGCTAGGAAGGATAGACACTTGTCAATATATTGTAGAATCCTTACTTTTTACACTGTAACCCAAAGGACCAACTTTCCACGTTTCCTAATGATCACCTGAACTATGGTGGGTCTTGTTTCTTACAGAAGATGTAATAGCATAGTCACTGATAAAATGAGAAACTTCTAGACATGCTGTAGCAGGTGCTCTTTGTGTCCAGCCCATGTCCCTTCAGCTTTCACCTTTACCTAAGGAAGGCTGCTTGCTGCAAACACCTGTGATTCTCTGCTGAAGGCAGAGAGGATACTTGGGCTGTATGGAAAGTAACTCTCAAGCAGAGACAGATAGAGAGTTGAGGATGGAAATCTAAGTTCCTTCTCCCTTTAGGTGGAGTCACTTGGACACGCATGTGTCTCAGAGTTCCCAGCAGAATTGGGTTCCAGTTGTCTACAGTGTTGAACAGCTTGTTAAAGTAGCGTTTGTTTCCTTCCCTGCTCTGCCTCACTTTCCCATTCACCAGCCAGTGTGTCTTGGGATTACCTTCCAAGCAAATTATTTGCCCGCAAATCTTTGTCTCACAATCTGCTCCTAAAACATGTGTCATGTCTTCTCCTATCTCAATTACTTGTACCTGCTGTTCTCTCCTCCTGAAACTCCACTCCCTCTTTTCCATACCTTTAATGTTTCATTCTTTCTGGAAGGCCATCTGTTAATCCACCAGGCAGAAGTTGATGTCACTTCTAGGCCCTACATAAATGTTTGTTGAGTGACCTTTTCTGCAGAACTTGGTCAATTTCTCTATACAGTGTGCTTTTCCAGATGCAACGTGATGCATCTGCATTTGAATATGTCTATCTCCTCATATGTCTGACTACAACCGGCAAGACTGCCTTCTGCATGCATGAACCTGGGAATAGATAAAGCAGCCCTCTTGGCTTTAGTGCTAGAAGCCTGAAGACTGGCCTGTGTGAGTTAGCTCAGAGCCTATGTGTGTAAACCAATCAGTGGTGGTATTCACTGCAGAGTCAGAGGGGCTGGCTGTACCAAAGCCATGGGTCACTTCCCTTTGCAGGACTGATGATGTACACAGTTCCTTATCTGTCCCAGCTCTGACTGCCCAAGCACCCAGAGCCTTCACTAGAACAGAAGATGGGCTCATTACGGGAATGATAAGCCAAGGCACAGAGTGGGATAGGCAGAAAAGGCTGCTTAGTGAGAGTGTGGTTCTGGCAAAAAAGCAGAGGCCTTTGGGGTCACATGGACCCAAGTTCTCCCACAGTCTGGTATGTGAGGTCTTAGGGACACAATTTGTTAGTTTCTTCTTCATTGATAAACTGGAGATAATACTAGGAGCTACACCACAGCTGTTTTGGAGGAGTAGAAACACTACCATGGCTAGAAAGAATGTATGCTGCCTGGCTCACAGTAGGTACACAACAATAAAGATTAATTCCTTTCAGTACTCTTAGGTAACTGCACAGAGAAGTGCCGAAGGTCTGCTTCTCCCTTGAGGGCAGGGGCTGTGTATTATGTCTCTTGAAATCCCCAGCACCCAGCCTAAGTACTCAGTTACTTTGTTGATTAAACCATTCCCTGCAGTGACTGAACCATCGCTTGGCATGTAGTGGTCACTGAATAAATGCCAGTCCTTCTCTTTCCTTCTCTATCACTTCACCCAAGGCGAGAATGCTATTCAAATAATCCCTGAAATTTGTCATTCTGTCCCTGCTTGGATGGCCTCAGAGATGGAGAACTCGCCACCATTCTTCACTGGCGGAACTCCCTGCACTGTAGACCTCCAGGGTTGGCTGGGGCACCCTAGCTTCCACAGTAGTCTCTCCATAGTAAGCCACGAGTCTACTCCCCCCCGCTTCTCTCACACCCTTTCCATAGGTTGCCCCTACCATAGGTCCCTTTCCATAGGATGTCCCTACCTATGGGTCTCTCAGTTCTATCATGTTTCTCCTTGGTCAGGGCTACAGGTGGCCAACGGTCTTGGTCCCTTAGGACTCACCTCTGTCTGTACCAGGTTGACCCTCTGGGCCCGGAGCTCACGCACGCAGTTGAAGATGTCCACCACCCCTTCATTCTCGGCCATGTCAAGCATGGTGTCAATGGCAATGAAGCAGCCAGTCCGCCCAGCCCCGGCACTGGAAGAGAGGTATGGATCTTTGTTAAGGATCTTTGCAGGGGGACCTGCCCTGGGGAGGCCCCTAGCATTCAGCCCTATCCCCAAGGGTCCTGCTGAGAGGCCATATACAGCAGAAGTCAGACAGAACTGTCTGAATCTCAGCGTTCCTGGGGGATCTTGAGTAAGCATCTAAACTTAGACTAAGCCCCAGCAGTCTCCTTTGTAAAATGAGAGAGTAGTGCTGGTCTCCAAGGGCTATTTTATCAGGACTGACTTATTTTAATGTAGTCATTTAGCAAAGGTTTATTCAGGGCTTACAAAATGCCATTGTTCTACGTGCTTTATAAATGTTACCTATAGATTTCCCTGTGAGGTTAAGAAGTTTCTCATCCCATTTCACAGGTGAGAAAACAGGCATAGAGGGCTTACCTTGCCTAACCGAGGTCACACAGCTGGCAAGTGGTAGAGCTGGAACTTTTACCCCAGCAGTCTGGCTCCAGATTATGTGTTCCCACATTTCCTTTCTTAATATGCATAGTTTGTAATGCATGCTCAAACCACACATATACATGCCGTTTCCTTGTCTGATGGATAAAATAATACATCTATATAGCATAAAACACCTAGCATGGTTCCTGGCATGCTGGAGATGTCTCATAGACATGTCTTTCCTATTTTCTACCCTTTTCTCCTCTTTTTTCTTCTTCAGCAAATGGGTTGATGGATGGAAGCAGAGAAGGAGAGGAGAGAGAACAGAGGGGAGGTGAATGATAGGACAGAAACTAGAGTTCTCCGAGCTGTGCCCAAGATGGAGAGTGGTTGGTGGAGCACAATGTTCAAAGGCCAGCATCTGGTTCCACCTGCGGCTGTTTTCCCAGGATCATAAAGCAAGAGCGTCATGAAACTGGAGCAGCTGACCGTCCGGAGACCCTTGTCAGGGATCAAGTTTCCGAAGCAAGAGCGTTATGAAACTGGAGCAACTGACCGTCCGGAGACCCTTGTCAGGAATCAAATTTCCAAATACATACTTGATTTCTGGTCACTAGTGGCTTCTTTAGGAGAACCTTAGACCAAGTACAAAATAGCAGAGGAACTCAGAGAGACTCTATGGGCCTTGGCCAGCCCTTTCTAGATGAGTGCTGGGCTCTGAAACATCAGTGCCGACCAAGAGGTACATAAGACATGTGCCTCACACACGTGCAGTTTTGGATGGGAAGGCTGGGCAGCCTGTCAAGGAGGCCCCCTTCCACTGCGTTTTCACATCTTGCATTTCTCATGGAAACAAGCGTCTTTGTCTAACAATGTGGATGTCAAAAGAAACACAAAGAGGAAGAGAGATGGAACAAAACAAAAAAGCAATATTGGCTGATTATAAATCCAAGGAGCACAGGCCAGCGCGGACCACTACCTACAACAATTTGGAAAGTACACCCATCGGAAGCAGAGTCTTCATTCATGAGAAAATTTCATAGTTTAAGTTTGCTTCAGAACCTACTCCCCAAAATCCAGATGCGAGGACTCAAGAGACTCGGCCTCTGTATCTGGGAGGGAGTATAGGGGGTCACTCGTGTTTTTTCTTCAATGTTCATATTCAGCATGCTTTAGTATAAAGAACCAGCCCAGTTTGGTTCTGAATTTTGGAACTATCAGTGGTGACCAAGTTGCCTAGTGTCCGTTAGCTTCAGACTTCTGATGCATTTAACATACCTCCCTGCAGGGTCCTTGTGAAGACAGAGCTGTGTTTATTTCATGATCACATAGTAATCAAACACAGGGTCTTTGAAGAGACCCCTAGGATTAAATCCTGGCTCTATTACTTACTAGCTGCGTGACCTTGGGCAAATGACTTAACCTCTCTGGGTTTCAATACTCATCTATAAAATGATGTTAATAGTTAATAGATCTACCTCACAGCATTAATAGCCTAATATGTATAAATTGCATGGAATTACAATTAAAATGCATAATGCATACACATTGCTTTGTGCCTGGATACATAATAATTTCTCAATAAAAGTCTTAGTAGACTCTCATAATGGCTATTATATTCAACAAATATTTATTGAAAATGTAAGATGCAGTAGATGCTGGGATTAGGAGTGGGAATATGAAAACATTGTTCCTTTCCTGAAGGATTAATAATCTGGGGAGGGGGAGAAGACATTAAGAGGCAGAGAATAATGATACATTAGAGTGCTCACTACATGTCAGGCATTCTCTCTTAGGCACTTAGTACACTTAGCCAACCCATTTGTTAATAATTTTCAGAACAGACCCAGGAGTGGGTACCACTCTGCTCACATGCATTAAGATGACTTGCTATGGAGATACGTAAGGCCTTAGAGCCATCATGCGCAGAGGGCCTGATAAACATTTGCCATTGTCTTTCTTTCTCCCTAACTCTTTATCTGGGTGCTCTTTGGGATATAGAGATGGGGGGATTAATGATCTATTGCCCTTCGATTGCTGTGAGATATAAAGCAGAGAATACATGCAAAACACTTAGAGAGTCCAGAATTACCTCCTCATCCTCACTTGCCTTATCTGTGAAATGGTGTTGTGTAGCTACTATTGCTGGGAAGATAAATGGATGCTGTATGAGGATGGGGCTGGCTCTGAGACATCTACAGCTTATAGAGTCTTCTGTGGTCTCTTGACTGACACAAACTGCCAGGGAAGGGATGTGATAACTCAAGCATCCAAGGTCTGAAAAGATGGGCTGGCCCAAGGTCATAGTGGAAGAGAGAGGCAATGGGAAGGAGGGGGATGCCAGCTGGCTGGGCTTCGGGTCACGAAGGCCATCCTCCTCCAATTCTGGACACCTCTGACATGATACTTCATCTCCATTTGGGAGGATTCGAAGACGTGCCACTCATTCTCAATGTGACTTTCTAGGTCAGAGCTGAAAATCTCTCTTCTCCATAATAAGGTAAAACCTGGTGCTGTCCATTTCTCTCTATGAGGGACCCTGCAGGCTGGCAACTGATTTTGAAAATAATAGAAATGAAAAGAAGCATGCTTCCACCAAGGCACCCTGCTGCCATGTCAAGGAGCTGAGGGCGAGTGTCTGGAGAAAAGCAGGTGAAATATTCCCACTCTGTGTTTACTTTCTCAGCACTTGAGTTTTTGTATATGTAAAATGGGAATGATAATAATGCCCACCTCTCAAGACTGGATGAGAAGTAAATTAAATAATGTGGGTAAAGTGCACATGACAGACCCAGCAGACGCTGCCAGTGTTCAGCCTGCCTCCCTGGTGACCTCACTGTTTTCAGACAACAACAACAACAATGGCCACTACTGCTCTTCCTCTTGTTAGTTGACCTTGCGACCAAGTCTCATCAGAAAGCATGGGGCATGGGGGACACAGGAAGAGGAGTCTCTAAGAGTAAAGCCACTAGAAAAGATAGCATGTCCCTCCCAAGAAAGCTGAGGTGCAGAGGCACTCTAGGGTAGTTGGAGGAAATTTTTTTTTTTTTTTTTTTTGAGACGGAGTCTCACTCTGTCACCCAGGCTAGAGTGCAGTGGCGCGATCTTGGCTCACTGCAACCTCCCCTCCTGGGTTCAAGCAATTCTCCTGCCTCAGCCTCCCAAGTAGCTGGGATTACAGGTGTGTGCCACCACACCCAGCTAATTTTTTGCATCTTTAGTAGAGACGGAGTTTCACCATGTTGGCCAGGCTGGTCTCGAACTCCTGACCTCATGATCCGCCCGCCTCGGCCTCCCAAGGTGAGGGACCTTTGACTTACCTGCAGTGGACCACTATGGGCCCTGCTTCTGGGGGGTTGAGGAACTTGACCTGGCGGACGAAGCCCAGAAGGCCAGTGGCGTAGCAGGGAACGCCGTGGTCAGGCCAGCTGGTGAAGTGGAAGAGGCGGAGCTCCCGGATCTCATGGTAGCCTTTCTGAGGAAAGAACAGGCCTCTGTTCTTCCAGCTGCTGCCCTCACATACCCAGCCCAGCAACACATGGAGCCACAGCTGCTGCACCGAGGAACCTCCAGCAGGGACAGGGCCCTCCCAGTGTTAATAGGTGTTACTGCATAGAGCCATTCTGTGATCAGTTACATTTGGGAAACATGGGATTGTTACAATGAAACTGATGGCTTTATTACAGGACTTCTCAGAGTCTTGAGTGTGCTCAAACACACTCTGAATGCCTAGGGGGCCACAGAGCACCCTAGGAGACCTCCTTTTGTTTGCCTAGGGGATGGTCTTTGACAAGTGTTTCATAGGAGGTGTATCGAGTAGAACGGATTTAAAGAAATGTTGGCCTTAACGACCAAGTCCAAATTATTTCCAGTGGAATCTGAGGCTTTCAGTGATTGAGGTCTGATGTTCTGTCGTGTTCCAGCCTTGACCATGATAGTCTGTGTGACTTTCAAAATGTATATAACTTAGTCGATTTCTTTATTAATTAGATTCTTACTTAGAATGATTAGATAAGATACGAAACAAACAAAAGCAGAGCTTCTCTGATTGATGGAGACAGAGTGGGGCCTAGAACTCTGAGCGGTTCTCCTCCCTTTTCACATTCCTTCACCCCTCACAGACATACACTCCAGTCCCAACAGTGGTTTTCTGACTATTCCAAGGTCAGATCACACTTCTAAGCCTTTGCTTAGACAGGTCCTGCTACCTACTATTTTTCTGCTTAGCAATCTCCTGTAGATACCCAGAGAGCACTGAATAGGAAGAGTCTGTTTGATTTTTCATTCCTTCAGTTAAAAATCATTTACCAAGTGTGACCTGTGCCCAGCCTTGTGCTAGGTACTAGGAAGGTGAGAATAAAAGCCATAGCTCCTATCCCTGGAACAGCTCATGGCCTTGTCGGGGAGGCAGATGCCCAAGTGGGTAATTCTGTTGAAGTGGATAAAGGAGTACCTGTTAACCTGATCTGAGGAGAGGAGAAATCAGGGAAGGCTTTCTGGAGGAGGTGATGCTTGACTTGAATCTTGAAACAAACTAATAGTGAAAATAATAGCTAACATTAACTAAGCATTTACTGTGTGTCAGTCACTCTTCTGAACACTTCAACATGCTAACTTATTTAATCCTGATATAAATCCCTATATTTTTATCTCCACTTGATGGATCAGGAAACTGAGGCTGAGCAAGGTTAAGTGACACACCCAAGGTCACAGTACAACTCATAAGTTGTAAAGAGATGATGTGAACCCTGGCTGGCTGTCTCCACAGTCTGCACTCTTAATCATTCTAATATACCGATGTGTGAGTATTACCCAGTTGACGGGAGAAGAGGAAGGGAATCCAAGGCAAGGGGACAGCATGGGCACGGGCCTGGGGACAGGGCTTAGCATGGCATGTGCAGAGAATCACTAGCAACCCAGGGCAATGCTAGAGGCAAGTGGAAGGCAGGCCATGGGGGACCACAGGCCTGGGGGTGTAGGAGAAGAAATGAGAGCTGGATCCCAGAAGTCCTTGAATCTACATTAAGGCCTTTAGACTTTATCTCAAAGGCATTGGGAAGCTACAGGGAGATTACACAGATGGTTCCATACAAGAGGAAGTGCATCATTAGACTTGCATTTTAGGAGGCTGCATCCTGCTACATGAAGGATGGATTCAGGTGGGTGGATCGGGGGTTGCAGAGAGGGCACTATTGGTGCCTACTCAGATCCCCATCACTGGGTCAGTGGACTCATTGCCAGCCTGCTCTGAGTCGTGGCTGTACACAGCTCACAGTTACCCTCTTCTGAAGAGGACTGTTCTCAGCTGAACAGGAACGCCCTCCCCGGGGGTATGGCTGGGTGGGGCAGCATCCTCCAGTGACTGATAGTTGAGGGAGAATGACCAATTGGCTTGCCACTTGCTCAGTCGGCCCAGGACTGAGGGGTTCCCTGGTACGTGGGACTTTCAGTGCTAAAACCAGTAATGTTCTGGGAAAAACAGAAATTTATTTTTACCCTAAGGGGGGCCCCTGAGGCCCCTTTGCTTCAAGGTTGGACCAAGTGTGCAGTACCATTCATGTTCCAGGGCTCTCATGGGTTCAGGTGGAAGCAAGTCTCTGCTGAGGCCACATCCTCACTCAGCTCCCTTCCCCACTCCGTCCTGGCTCTCTCACCGCCTTCCGCCTGCAAACTCTCCCTCAATACACGAGCCAGGGCACCTAAACCCCTGCTGCTTCTGGCTCTGCTTCTGGGAGACCCAAACTAACATAGGGGCAGGACTAGAGGCAGACAGTCCTGTTAGGAGGGAGAAACCAGAGGCCCAGATTAAGGCTGTGATGGATGAGCTGAAGTGAGAGAGGAGAAACCTTCAAGAATACTTGGACTTTTTTCACGCCATCCTCCAAATCAATTCAGTCCCAAGAAGCCCTCCTTCGAGCTCTTCCCACCTGTGCTATGATGATTTATCAAGGATCCTCTCTCCCTGATGTGACTGTGCTATCTTCAAGGGCAGACAGCACTCCCTGTTTATTATTTCCAGGTTCCCAGCTCAGGAACCGATTTTGAGCTAAAACCACAGGCGATGTTTGCTGAGTGCCTGCCTGCGTGCTGTGGAGAGGTTGGCTAAGCCCAGTTAATCCTCAGAGGCCCTTGGGGTCTTTTAAGGGCATCTCCCTATGACTAATATCTTCCCTCATGGTTGTTTAAAAGACAAAGAAAATGTAACCCAAGAAAGGACCATAATTCTTCAACATGGTTTGCTAGCTGCAATTCCTCAAGGCCTCCCCGCCCATGTCCCCAGTCACTCACCCCATCCTCGGGCATCCAACACAGATGTGACAGATGAAACTGGTATCCCACCTGGGTCCTTTTCCTTGGGCCTGTGCTCCCAGGCCTCAGCTGCAGGAACTGTTGGTTGCTACTGCCTCCCAATTGTCCCCTTCTCTGGAGACATGCCCTCAGTTGACAGGGGCTGGCCCATCCTGGAGGTTACCCTTCAGTGGATGGTCCACGGTCAGCAGACTGACTGATGTGGGAGCACAGAGGTCTGGCTTCCTTGCCTTAAGGGGGACAACTCTGTGGCATGGTTTATCCTTGGAGGTTCCCTGTGGATTGCCTCTAGGGCTAGACTTCACTGGAGCCTCTGCCCTTGGTTGGTGTCTTTCCTTCCCTCTCCTGCTTCCCACTCTCTTAGGAATTTTTCCTGGAAGAGCTCCCTTGATATACCTTATGTTCCTGAATCCTTGCCTCAGGCTCTGCTTCTAAAAAACCTGACCTAAGGCAACGTCGAAGTCCCAATGGTTTCCTTCCTCCTAGTGCAGGGAGTTCACAGGCTTCCTGACTTTTTCACCCAAGACTGCGGACTCAGATGAAAAAGACCCTGAGACTTTAGGAGTCTGGGGGTTGGAGTGGGAGCTTCTGGGGGCAAACAGTATGTCCTAGGCCACTTTGTATGCTGGAACAGTACTGTGTGCATGCCGGGCTCTAGTCTGCAGAGCAGCCTATTTTGGCCCTTGCAAGGACTTGTCCAAGCCTCAAGGGCACAGCTCTCAAAGCATGTAAGTCCCCAGTGCTTTTGCATCCTCAGGCCTGTGGCCATGTTGTCTACTAAAGTGGCTGGTTTTAGAGGAATGGAACCTGTGGTGTAATGGAAAGAGAAGTGTGTTACAGGGGCCAAGGTGTGATTCCTGGTTCTACCAGCCTTGCAGCTGGGCAACTTTGGACAACTGATTTAAACTCTCTGTGTCTCAGTTTCTTCATCTGCAAAATGGGGATAATAATAGCTCTTACCTTACAGGGTTGCTGGGAGGATTAACTGAGTTACCCTATGCAAAGCATTTAGAAAAGTACCTGGTTCAGTAAGTGCTCAGTAAATGTTAGCTATCATTATGACATAATAGTAATGATAGAATAGCAATGATTATATAATAAGTTATAAATATATGTATTATTATTTGCAATCACATTCTTGCTCACCAAGCTTGTACAGCCCTGGCCTCCTTTTAATGTCTAGATCAGCATTTTTCAACCTCAACACTACTGATGCCTTGGGCTGGAAAATCCTTTGTTGTCAGGGGCTGTCCTGTGCATTGTGGAATATTTATAAGCATCTCTGGCCTCTACCCACTAGGTGCCAGTACCATCCTAACCCTTCTCCCCCAAGTTGTGTCAACCAAAAATGTTGCCAGACATTTACAAATATTCCTTGGGGGATCAAAATGCCCCCAGTTGAGACCACAGGCCTTGAACAGCTTGAGATCATTTTTTTTCCCCCTCCAGACTGCATGTTTTTTCCTTCTGCCTGGGATAGCTCTTCTTTCCTTTCTACCCTGCACTGGTTCCTCCTCCTTCATTCTCTGCCCAAACGCCTCCTCCACTAAGAGGCCCTCTCCCACCACCCCATCCTCCTGTGGATTTCTATCTCCATCCTTTGCATATTCCCGTGTGACTTTTATCACAATGCGTTGTTATTTCATTGATCTGCTTATTGAATTCAGTTTGTCCAGCCTACTAGATGTGGGATCCACGGTAGCAGGATCCATGTCTGCCCTGATTGCTGATCTGTTGCTGGTGCCAAGCATGGGGCTGGACATAGAACAGACCCTCAGTCACTACGTGTTCTGGATGAACAAAGAAGCCAGCTCTCATGGTGGACCGGCTGCCCACAGCCTCTGGGAAGCTTACCTTCTGGACTGTAAAGGTGCGTATGACATATTCTGCCAGGGGCTCTGTTTCAATCAGGGTGACTTTAATGTCTCCGTAGACCTCCGTGTCATCTGGCCAGTATCGCACACATTTCACCTGTGGCCAAGTGAGAGACAGAGACAGAACAAAGACAACGATGCATAAGCACATGGCTGAGTGTGAGCAGCTGTCTCATCTGGTCGTCCCATTCAAATAAACCCAAGGGTGACTTTGGTGGCATTTCAGTCCACAGGGTTCACAGCTGGCCAGGGATCAGCAAGCTGCACAGGGCTAAGCTCCCTCCCAGAGGCACTGGAGCCATTAGAAATAATTGTAGTACCTTCTTTTGCAAAACTCCTAGTAATTTTCCAATGCATTATCACACTACGTCATCAAATAGAACAAGGTGAGATAGGTGGGTGTTACTAGCCCCACTTTACAGATGAAAATAACACTCAAGTTTAGAGGTTTGGTGACTTTTCCAAGGCCATGTGGCCAGTTTGGGGACTGACTGAGTCCCCTTTCTGCTCTGTCAGGGTGGAGCAGCTGAGTATTATCAGCTGAGCGAAGATGAGACTAAAAGGTGGGAAACAGGAGGTGGAAGCAGAAGTGGTTGGGAGGTGGACATCATTAAGAGGTGGCAGGTGGGAGTCTGGAAGGAGAAAGGCTCTTGGTTGGGGAAAGGATGGCAGGTGCTGGAATCCAAGGGAAGACGCGCAGCTCCTCTCTGACCCTGGACGCGAGCAAGCCATTCCCCAGTTGACTGTTTAAGTCACACTCATGGATGAAAAAGAGATCATGGTTTTCCCCTTAAAAGAACAAAAGCATGATTACCATTCCGGGGGACGCTGCACGGCCTAGAGTGGCATTTCCCACAGTGTGTTCCGCTGGGTGCTAATAGGTGTTAGGTAAAAAACAGGAAACAAAAAACAAACAAAAAAAGGTTTTGTGGTCAAATGAGTTTGGGAAATGCTGTATTACACAGTTAAATAGGTAGTTTTGCTACAGGACTACTCAGCTGCTTTCGCATGCTAGTGCTAATGTGTTTTGTGTTGTTTTGCGACTCTCCAAAAGGGGCACAGAGGACGCAGCATTTCCCAAACGTATTTAACCATGGAACCCTCTTCTCACTAAGCATCCTGCAGACTAGCATCCCATGGAACCCACTTAGGGAAACACTGGTATAGTGCAACAGGACATGGGGGCAAATGGATTCATTGCTTGGTCCTAACACTCAGTATCTGGGTAGCCCCAGAAAGTGATGAAACCTCTCTGAGCCTCAGCTTCCTATCAATAATGATAGCTAACATTTACTGACTGTGTACTGTGTCTACCATGGCTCACAAAGTGTTCCGCAAATACTTTACATGTATTATTCTAATGACTTACCAACACGACTTGATGAAGTAGGTATTATTATCCCCATTTTGCAGACGAGGAAGCATAGGAAAGCTAAGAAAATTGCCCAAGGTCAACTGTTGGTAAGGGACGGAGCCAGGATGCAAACCCAGGGCACTTGAATAATAACTAGGAACATGGGCTCCTATGATTGTTGTAAGTTGTGGGAATGCACAGGAAGGGCCTGGCACAGTGTTTGACACTAGCAGGAGTTTAAGAGATTGCTTTCCTCCCCAAATGCAATTTAGATTTATGGTCTATCCATCGAGGGAGTCTGTTTCCAATGTGGGATATATTGTAGAACAGGCTGAAATTTGCTTCTGAATCCTGGGCTGGCCTTTATGTCCACAGTAGCTGCACCCTGGGCCTGAGTCCCTGGGGAACAGTCTGAGTGGAGTGATCATGAGCGCTGGAATGAGAGTCCACTGTCAAATTTTGTGCCTAGGTTTTGGCTGAGTGACGTCAGGGTAGGTACTCTACCCCTTTAGGTCTGTTTCCTCATCTGTAAAATTGAGTGATGGACTAGATAAGGGTGGACTCATGGATAAAGTCTCACCTGGTCCTAAATTCCCATTAGGCCCTGAGATGTCCATACCCCTTTACTGGATTGCAAAAGCCCAGATTTTCTCCTTCCCATCATCACAGAGGCCAGAATTCATCTTTATGAATTATCCGTTTCTTACCCAAGCAAAAACTTACCTGCCCACATTTTAGTTAGTTCATATGGCGTGTAGAGAGCCCTTTTAATTGTAGTGTTTGTACACCTTGCCTTTAAACTCAGCAGCCTACCCACATGCCAGAGTTAACCAAGTAGGCAAAAGCAAGCTGGGAATAGCAGTCCCATTTCTAAGCCCCAGGAGTAGTTGAGGACCACCTCAGAGAGAGCTGAGATGGAGCAGAGCAGGAGACCAAGATCTGAGCCCTGAAGAACATCAAGATTTCTTGAGGTCAGGGGAAGAAGAGCGGGTAGCAAAGGGTTGGATGCCGCTGAGGTTGAGTAAGATGAGAAGAGAGAAGTGGAGACTGGATTTGTTGACATGAAGGATGCGAGTGATATTGACAATATCACTATTGGTGGGATGGAGGGAGGGAGAAGCTACGCTGGGGTGGGTAGAAGAGAACATGAGTGAAGAAACAGAGCCTCTCTGTGAGTCTTTAAAGTTTGGCAGAAAAGCAGGAACAAGAAGATACTTTTTATTTACCTTTTCCTTTCTTTTTAAGATGGAAGGTACTGGGCGTGATTGTATGCTAAGGGGAACAATTTGGCAATGAGAAAGAGACTTATTTTGCAAGCGAGAAAGGGAAAAATGAAAAAAATTATTGAGTAGAATCTGTGATCCAGGCACGAGGTTTGCCTTTGGAAGGGCAGAGACATGGCTTCTGTTGTATTAGGCTGAGCTATAAGAAACGGTTGACATTCGACCATTTGAGTCAGCAAAAACAGCCATTTCTTATAGTCAAACCTGACAGCAGAGGAGAAGAACAAGAGGATGGTTGTAGATACAAGTAGGATTGCAGCTTTATGGTGTGACGATGAGGGAGTGCATGACTGATGGTTTTAATTTCCTCAAAATATATGAGATGACATCATCAACGGAGAGTGAGGGTGGAAAAAGGGATGAAGGGGATTTGAAGGGAAAGGACATTGCTTGAATGTGGAATAGGAGTGATGACATCTCCCTTGTAGGTTGCTGTGAGGGTGAAATATTGACTAGGAGGCACTTAGCACAATGTGTGGAACAGAGAGATGTTCGAGAGGGCATCTCCAGCATCCTCTGCCCAGGCGAGTGCGGGAGAGGCTTACCCTGCCCACTTCCACCAGGTTTGTGACCATGACGATGCTGGCAGAGTTCTCCTGCCAGATCATTCTCCAAAAGTCCTTTACGGTCTCCTGCATTGGACCTGACAACAGAGAAGGCAGTGAGGTTAGAGAATGCAAGTGCAAAGAAGCAGCTGAGAAGATTTGTCCCTCTGGTTGGTCAAGTCTCCACACTGGTGAGCAGAAGTGAGGCCGGTGATCCTCGTTAAGATACCAAGTATCTGAGACATGGGCCTGAGACATGTGAGCCTGATGGGGACAGATTAGGGTATGGATGGGGAAAGCCTCATTCCAAGCTCTCACAATCTGCAGCATCTACTGGAAATGTTGGCACCCCTCCTCTCTCTTCTGTCCTCCTCCTGCTCAGACCCTTCCTACCAACTCCACGTATCGCCTTATCTGGACTGTATTATGGCTTGAGGGAGTTTTCAAAAACTGGGCTCGAGAACCTCCATGACAGACAGGAAGGCAATTGGGGTGAGGAGATGGAGAGAGCTGCTGGGTGCCAGATGCTGAGAACAAAAACAGGAGATGCCTGATTTTGAGCTTGACAAATGCTGGAGGCATCCCTCTAGAGCCTGAACAGAAAGGAAGAGAAAAAAAAAAAAAAAAAAAGACGAGGAGCAGAAAATAGGCTCTGACAGTCCAAAGCAATTTCCTTGGAAATTACTCTTTCAATGTCCTGGGCCTTCATCATTTTTAAAATTACAAAAGTAATACGTGTGTTTGATATAAAAGTTTGAATACCATTTTTCTATATTTATATGTATATGTGTGTATTTACTGTAATAAGCATCAAACCTATTATATGTATTTTCTGATGCCCTTAAAAATTCTTACCAAGCATAATAGTTTTAATAGCTGCAAGGTTTTCTATAATATGGCGGTAACACACTTTATGTAACCAATGTACCAATTGTTGGGCATTTAAGATTTTTCACTTTTTTATTCCTATTATAGATAACACCGTGAAGAATGTTCTTATATGCGTCATTGTCTATATATATAATTATCTGCAGGATTTTTTTTTCCAGAAGGGTTTGAAAGGTATGATCACTTTTAAGCCTTCTGAAAACGTGCTGCCAAGTTACTTTCTAGGGCAGCCAGCTGCATGTCTGTTATGGGCACGCATCTATCATGGAGATAAGGCACCATCAGCTTGGGCCTCTCCCTCCTGACCATTTCCAAATGACAGCTTCTTACTCTGTCACTCATGGGCCTTTCTCCTATAGTGAAACTTGCCACCATTTTCCTTCCCAAATAAACAACTGAACAATCTCAAGGACCTCTGGAGATTCTTCAGCCTACCCCTCTGTGACTTCTTTGCTGGTGGAAACTCATTCCTCTCCTCCAGGGCTGTTTAGTGAAAAAGGAGGGTTGGAGTAATAGATATAGGAGGAGAGGACAAAAGCCTTGCATTTAAGAGAGCCCTTTCCCTTGGGACCCCTGAAGCCTCTCTGAGGCACTAGGTGGAGGGAGGGCACTTACCTTGAGTTGCAATGTAGTGCCGAGGTCGATGGTATCCCTGGATAACAGGAGAAAAGCACTGAAAAATCTGTTGTCAAAGCTTGCAGACAGCACAATATTAATAAACATCCTCTCCGAGTCTTGATTTTCTCATGGGCAAAATGAGAACAGCATCAGTTATTCCCAGAGAAGTGGCAAAGGTTAAATGAGATGTTGCACATAGAGTGTGCAGTAAGTCACTAAATGCTAGCTATTCTTGTAGTTACTTGTGAGGTGCCTACATAGGCTTGCCTTGGAGCCAGTGGCACTGGGAGCAAAGATTTGATGGGCATCACTTATCCTTATGCACCCAAAAAGAGGTAGAGAAGGAGTTTTCAGGTTTATGGGGAGCATCAACCACCAAAAAGTCTTTCTTGAGCCATGATTTTATGAAGAACACTGTACAAGACCCTATGGGACACCCAGAGAAGAAAGAGAAAAAAAAAAACAATTCAATTGTTGACTCCTTCCATTAGTAACAATTAGAAAAAGAAAATTGAGAAGTATCCCACATTGCTTCTCTATGCCAACATTCCTGGGCTTGGACTTGAAGTCCCAGGTACGGAGAAGACCTTATGGAGGTGTGACTTGGGAGACCCATAAAGATAACCTGCAAATTCAAAGACCAGTTTCTAATTTCTGTGTACATTTCAGAGCGCTACAGCAGGCCTTGCTGTACTCTGGCTGGGGAGTACCCTGCTGCCCCATAACCTTCATCATTGGAGAAGAGGTTGAAGGTGACCCCTCTTTTGCCTGGGCATGGCATACATGGAGTGTCCTTTTTCCAGTTACAGTCATATTGAGTAGAATTTAAATTTTGGAGACAGACCTGCATTTAGTGCAGAACACTGAATGCAATTCATATTTGTTAAATAAATACATGAGTGAATGAATGAATACATGAATAAATTTTTTAAAGAACACAGATGCCAATTATGGACCCTATCAATTGAGAGATTGTTGACAGTCCTGAAATCCACTTAGCTTTTATGGTTAACCACGTCCAGAGAAAATAAGTCCTAATGTTTGATGGATACCTGCCTTTGTCTTAGATGTTGCTGACCAGTCTTTTTGTCCTGTTGAGGTGGATGAACTGCCTTGAGGCCACTTCCTTCAGGAAATAGAACTGCCATCTGTATGGTTTATGGTGCCATAAATGTGGCATCTCTAAAGTTCGAGACCCACTTTCTGATTCAAAGACAAGTTTCTGAGTCCCTTGTACATTTCTGCACTTTTGTGTTTCACTTGCTCAATAATGATTTTACAGGCACCTTCCAATTGCTGGGCCTGCTCTAGAGTTGGAGGTCGGCACCAATCCAGGGACAATGTCATGACCAGAACTGTTGGATTAACCACAGTTAGTGAACAGCCCCACTTAAAGTCTGTGCTTGAGAAATCCTATGTACTTAGTGAGGTTGTCAGTTTCTTAAGGACAAACACTCCCTACTAAGCTTAAATTTTTTCCCACAGAGTTCAGCACAATGTGAGACTCAGAGCAAATACCCAATAAACAAGCTGTTGACAAACCAACTAGGTAGGCAACATAGCATGGTGATTATGCGTACCATGGACTCTGGAACTCAGCTGCCTGGGTTTGAACACTGGCTCTGTCCCTTCTAGGGTTTGTGGTCTGGGGCAAGCTACTTAGCCTCATTGTGCCTCAGTTTTAAAATTCACAATAGCAAAGATATGAAATCAACCTACGTGTCCATCTCAATGGATGATTGAATAAAGAAATTATATATATATAGTATTCAATATGTATATTATGGATATATATATGGAAAGAGATATATATATGGAAATATATATATGGAGAGATATATATATACATGGAGATATATATGTATGGAGATATATATATATATGGAGATATATATATACACACACACACAGTATTCCATGGTGTGTGTGTATATATATGTGTGTATATACACACACACCATGGAATACTACTAAGCCATAAAAAATAATGAAATCATGACTTTTGTAGCAACATGGCTACATGGATGGACCTGGAGGCCATTATCTTAAGCAAAAAAACTCTCAGAAAGTCAAATACCACGTGTTCTCACTTACAGTGGGAGCTAAATAATGTGTACATATGGATGTAGAGTATGGAATAGTAGCAATGGTGGCTCAGAAGGGTGGGAGGGTAGGAGGGTGGTGAGAGGGATGAGAAATAATTTAATAGGTGCAATGTGTACTATTCAGGTGATGGTTACACTAAAAGCCTATACTTCACCACTGTGCAATATATATAGTAACAAAACTGCACTTGTACCCCCTAAATCTATAAAATTAAAAAAATTAATAGGGATAATGGTATTTACATCATAGTGTTGTTGATCAGATTAAATGAGTTGATATATAACAGTTACTATGTGCCAGCCCTATTCTAAGATTTAACATAAATGTCTTTGCTATTGTTATTTTATTGTTTATTTGGCAAACATTTATTTACTGAGTGCCTATCAAGACTAAAAGTATATGCACACCTCTCAGGGGATACTGGGATGATGAGACCTTCTTTGTGTTAATGTAATAACTGAGCCCTTCCCTGTGACACAAGTGTTAGGAGGACCTATCCCTTCCTCCAAGTCAAGTGGACAGGGCTGCTCAGGCTAAAAGAAAGAATTAAACCCAAGGGTTTTCTTGAGTAGCTTTGGGAATAGAAAATGGTCCCCTAGATCCTGGAAAGATGCAGTTTCTCAAGTCTACCCTCTTCTGCCATCCCCATCACTCATTCCCACAGCCCTCATCCTCCCTGGCTGAGGCCACAGCACTAACCTCTAGCTGGCCTCCCTGCCTGCAGTTTCACTCTGTAGCCTTGCTGCTTCCTAACCCCATGAGCTTCTTGTTGCACACTGAGTGTGTTATTTCCCTGCTTATAAGCCTGCAGTAGCTCCCTGTTGTCTGCATGGTAATGCCCAAATGCCTTAGCTTGGGACTAGTCATCTGTCTCCATTTTCATCTCCAGCCTCACCGCCAGTTGTCCCTCTTTGTCCACTCCTACAACCCCGTGCACCCTGTGCTTCAGCCTCACCAAGCTGCGCTTGAAATATGCCCTCCTCTGGGATGCAGAGCTGACTCCTTTCTTCTGAGTGGCCCAGTAGGGCTTTGTATATGCTCAGTGAATACAATTCCATGTGCTGCAGTAAATTTTTTTGTACTTTTCTCCTCCTGGGACATGCCAGCCAGAGCTGGGTGCAGTTTTCAGCAGTCTGGTTGGTGAAATACATGCATGAATGTTTTTGAGCTGAAGTTGGAGCATCCTCTTAATGCTCAGGCTGGAAGAAAAAGAGACCCTGGAGGAAGCTGTGATTTGGAAGATTCTAACGTGCTTGAAATTCAGTGAGATAACATTCTGAGCAAGAGATTCACATTTTAGTTGTGGAGTTAGATGGCTTGGATTCTCTGTTTTGTGAGTTCATTTGTTTGCACATTCACTGTCAATCAACAGGTATTAATTAAGCACCTACTACTATGTACAAGGCACTAGAAATACAAAAGTGGACCCGATGAATGTGGACTTTGCTTTTGAGCAACTTGTAGACATCAACAGACTGGGGTAAAGGCTACTAATGGGAAGATGTGGGGACTCTGTGGAGCACCCATGGGAATTGAACAGCCAAGGAGGGCACCTCAGAGGAAGTGGTGGTTGATTGGCTCCTTAAGCCTGGTTTGCGCATCTTGACACCTCTTGTCATTTCCATTTCATCGTTTCAGTGATGTTCCCAGTTTCTCTACCATTCTTTCATCATCCACTGGTTCTTGCTCTTCTTCAGAGATAGGGATCACATGTCCATCCAGAGGCCTTAGCACTGGCCGTTCCCCGTGCCTGCTATGTCTGCCCTCAGGTAACTGAGTGGCTTGCTCTCTCACTCCATCCAAACTTCTGCTCAGTTGTCAATCACGTCTGTGGAGAGTTCATCTCTGACCACCCCATCAGCTTCTTTCCACTTTCTCTGGCTTACTTTTCTTTAGAGAACTTATCACCAAATAGCACACTATTCTTTCCTCATTTACATGCTCCCCCAGTTGAATGGGAGCTCCACGAAGCCAGGGCTGTATCTGGCTTGCTCATGGCCATGTCCCCAGCACCTAGAAGTCAGCCTGGGCCATTGGCCTTGAAAAATTCATACTGACTGAATACACGCATGCTGTGTGCCTGTTCCCATGCTGCATCTGAGTAAAGAGACCCACCTTGGCTTCCAAAAACCCACGCAGTCCCCAAAGAGAAAACATTCCAACCACGAGACTCCTCAGCAAAGGAGATAAAAGGAAATGTACTGCTCAATTGGGGCTCCTCTGGGGATTCGCCAAGAGCGAGTACAGAAAACTTCCTAACCTTAAAAGAACTTTGAGTTCATTTAAGTCCCACCTACACAGCACGCAGATCGACTGCAAACCAGCACTGGGCCTGCCTCCATCTGTCTGTGAGCAATGGGAAAGAGGTTTGCATCCAAAACGCATTTATCTCTCTCTGCACTCATGCATCTGTTACTTACTGGGGACCCAGATACGATATTTATTTCCAGGCTGGTAATTTATAACAGATTTAAGTGGCCAATACATTTTCGGGTGTGCAAACAAACCTGCCAGCAGGATGGTTCAGACAGTAACAGACCACGGCCTCCGGAGGCAGAGACAGGGCTGGCCCCATTCAGCTCATTATCCCAATAGAGTTATTTTAATGAATCATCAAGATCCAATTGTAGAGAAATGATTCTAGCGTGGGCAGTTAGCTCATTAGAGAGCCAGGAAGGATTCTGGCTGGGTTGGAGACCAGGGTGATGGAGTGAGGACCGAGTTAGCTGTCTGGAGCACTGGTTTGCCAGGAACCCAAATAGAGACCCCAGGAATTTTATCTTTGCTGGAGTATATAGTTGGTTCACAATTAATGGAGTTCCTCACTCTTCACTTTATAGTGGTAACGGTGCAAGGAGTTGCTTGTGGTTGGTTATCTTCCTTTTGTCCCTCCATTTCCCCTTTTTCCTTCCATGGTCTGCTCTGTAT